TTGCATTTGGAAGTTCACAAAGAAACATAGAGAAAAGCAAGATGTCAACAAAAGGTGGATGAGGTAGGCTGATTTATTTAAAAACTGGAAAAATAGCAGCAGCACCTACCACCACCAGCCATCACAAGGAAGGTGTCAAGTCACTGAATACATTTGCCTTTTATGTCTATTTTAAATGTCTCAGTTGATCTCATGGGGATAAAAGACAGGATTTGCTTATTTCAATGTACCTCAAACCATATGCAAATAGAACTCTGATACTGCACTACACATTTATAGTCAAAGACAACACTCAGTTTTTAAGAAGAGCAGGACGTACGTAACCGCAAATGAATGTCACACAAAAAATGAGCCAGACAATATTAAGTGCCAATGAAGAATTTTGGTAATTACAAGCTGCATTGTAAAAATCACTGTCAAATATGCTTGCCTCCATTGTTTGTACTCCTGGGAAAACTGAAAATATTCTATTCTCTGCTGCCCATGCCCTTCTCCCACCATTTTATCCTTTTCCATTACTTCCGCTGCTTCCTACCATGCCAAATTTCTCACTTATTGACCTTTTGTTTCAATACTACACTCAAACAGGGATAAGAGCAAAGTAAGAGAGGGGAAAAAGGAGAGAGTGAAAGTATATGGGTGTGTACAGTAATGAGAGAAGTTGGACATCTGCCCCAAAAAATTTAAACAAAAAATGAACTCTAAGACAGTGATGGATGTTGTATTTTAATGGATGGACGTTGAGGAGAACTACATATCAGGAGGGTTTATATAAAGACCAGTAGGGTAGCATTAGTTTATCTATTTAGTCAACCAAAATTTACTGCACACATACTATGGTGAGCTACTGTGCCAAGTGGTAGATACTTGAGAAAGTAAGAGGCATGAGAGTTGCTTCACGGATATGATAGGAAATTACAATCCATTGGATGGCAAATTTTTGATGTGGAACCAATTCCATGGAAAAATGGATCCAAGAATTTAACAAATATTTATTAATTTTGTTAATTATTTTGTCCTTAAAATATTTTCTTTTTGCTAAGCTTCATGACATCATGTTCTCCTGAAATTATTTTCTTTATGTCTTGGATTCCTTTGCAGGACTTTTATCTGTAGTGTTATTTAAATGTTGGCGCTCCTTATATTTCAGGCCTAGACTTCCTTTTTTTACATACTTCACCTGTGAGTTCTCATTTATTCCTAATCACTTTTAGAATCATCCATTAAATAATAAACATCAGCTCTGATGACACCAAATTCTGCAAATTCAGTTCAAACCCTCCTACACTCTGAATTCATGATGGAATAAAAATGCCCCTGCACATACTTGACATTGCCACCTGGATATTTTAAAATATCAAAAATTATACTAATAAACTTCCTGCTATCTCACAAAAAGCAAAACCACCCATGAAGTTGTCAGTCAAGAAACCCAAGAACCATTTATAACTTTCTTTTTTTCCTAATAGCCAAGTTCAAAGTTCTGTGGATTTTTATATCCTAAAACATACTAAGAAACTATCCAATGTGAGACTAGCAGATGGCATAATAGTTACATTGCTGGACTCCCACATAATTGACTATGGTTCGAGCCCCAGACCCGGTGGCTAAAAACTCAAACCAGGCATGGGTATGTGCACATCCAAAACCCCAGGAGGAGAATGGAGTAAAGGGGATTGTGGCATGGGCACCCGCCCAGGGGATGACTTGTCACTTTCTTTCTGTCTCTGTCTCTCTGACAAGTGCATGCACGCAATAGCAAAAATCTCTCTCTAAAAAAGAAAAAAATAAAAACAAAAAAAAAAAAGAAAGAAACTACCTGATCTTCTTCCTTTAGAAGATCCTTTAGACCTCAGTTTATTATATCTTGTTTTGCCCCTTTACTCTCAGATGGTACATTTTATCATGTTGAACTTCAAGTTTCTTAAATGTGAAATTGTGCTGTCTTTTACCCTATGTCTTTTCATATCATTTCCCCCACCTACAAGTTTCCTTATCTTTAACTCAACTCGCCTAGTTAACTTCTATTATATTGAAATATTGGTTTCTTTGGGAAGCCTAATTGGATTTTCAATCCATCCCAGGTCAACCTATTTACCTTCAATTGCACTTAGCCCCTCCTCATTTCAACCAAACCTACTCTTACCGCCAATAAACAAGGACAGGTGTTCTTACTATGTGTTCCAAATTAACGCACATGTCCCAATTAATATCATTTTTTCAATATTTTATTATAAACACCCATTTAATAGTCATCGCCATTAGTTTTGGTGTAGAGGGCAAAAAACTACATAGTGTATGCAGTTTACTTTTGTGTTGCTAGTGCATCCCAGAGTGTCATGAATAGAATTGGTGCTCAATAAATATCTATTCAATGAGTAAATGGAGTACCTTTTGATTATATGATAGGAAAGTGTAAAGTGTATAGAGATAAATAAAACACCCTCTACCCTTAAAGAGAGCAACATTAAATGCAGAATGTCTATAACACGTAATTATGAGATGATAATGAATAAATAAAATTGACTCCAATTTGGATACATGAGGATTTGCTAACATTGTAAATTGGAATTAAATATTTAGGTCTCCCTTCTGGGATGATCTAATCCACACTAAACATTTAGAAGACAGTTTTATAATTTTATGTAACAGATGAGAAAACAGGCACAGCAAAGGTGAGTTACCCAATGTTTCCCAGTGAATTAGAAGCAGAGCCAGAACTGAAAACTCAAAAATTACTTTGTCTTTTTCTACCCAAAGTACTATTGTGTGACTTTGACTTTATACACTATAACAGACTTCTCCAAACTATCACCTATGATATTTTATTTGAATATAAAAAATTCAGGAACACAGGCACTTTTTCTTGGATTTTCCTGTAGGCATTTACATTGAAGGCCTTCTGTGATACACCTCTGCACTCTCATACACTCTGAGATGTGTCAGTTCCCTCTGTCCTTAATAGAGTGTTAGTGTCAGGAGCTAACAAAATGCCACCACTTAGCTCTTCTACTATAGGACATCATATTACATCCTCTACATCCGTAAATGCCCATAGCTGGTTGGCAATTGCCATTCTATTGCCCTGAATGAACATTCTGGTAGAAAATGATGCCAGGTCTTAATAAACATTTGAGAAGCAACATAGGCTATTAAATGTAATGGGGGGAACCAGCAGTTAGCGTAATGGCTATGTCGCTGGACTCCCACGTAGTCGACCGCGGTTCGTGTCCCGGACACGGTGGCTTAAAACTCACGCCGGGCGCGTGTGTGTGCGTGCCCAAGATCCCGAGAGGAGAATGGAGGAGAAGGGATTGCGGCGTGACCATCCCCCCTGGGGGGTGATTTCTCGCTTTCTGTCTGTCTGGCAAGTGCACGCGCCCTACAGTGAAAATCTCTAAAAAAAAAAAAAAAAAAAAAAAAAAAAATATAAGGTAGCTCGGTTGCCAAAGATCTTTT